GGAGGGAGAGGGAGAGCACAATTGTAACTGGAGCAAGAGAGGGACGAAACGAAATCGATCCACAATGGCGCCTTCCAACCACCCGCTTCCGTGACTGTATCAAAAGGAATTTAAAAAACTACGACTGAAACACAAAACAAATTTTACAATTCCAAATGCGGGATGTGAACCAAGTTTTCCCACATTAGTCTAATACGACACCAAGTGTACTCGTCTGCTATGATAATAATAATGATGAAGTTTGGTAAAGCGTCCCTTTCCATGCTATATTCAGATGTATCTATAGGGTTTTATACACTGCCAAACGAATTTAGTCGAATTCAGTTGAATTGAGATAGGGCCAGCCACATTTTCCTCAATGGAGGGTACAGTTCCGCCGAATTCCTCCGTGACCTTCACAAACAAAATCATAAAACATGTATTGATATGTTTTTCAAGCTCGCAATTCGAACGATAGGATACGCACCGCGTGCGCGCAGAAGGCGGCTATGGGCGCTGTAGAATCAGAAAAGCTAATACTGATAAATCAAGAGAGATATCGACATGCCCCATGTTTGCAGGATTAACCCTATCCGTACGTCGTGTTTTACTATCGTATCCATACGATGTGGGGAACCCTGTGCTACCACTTCCCAAAGAGGAAGTTTAGTCGTTAATCCGATCTGTACGCTTAGCATAGCAGCCTGTCAAAATGTTGTTTTTTTTTAGAAAAAATGAAAGTTTCAAAGATTTTCGTACTAGAAGTATTCTAAAATGTGAAGAATACAACCCTAGGGGTACAAAATGACCCCAGGCCGTACGGATAAGGTTAAAAAACCCTCTCATAACAGGAAACGCTATCAGGACATGGTTGTGCTGTGAGCTGTATGTTTTGTGTGCAATAAAACCACGCACCGGGCAAAGTTTTCTATCCTAGTCAAATTTGGCAAAATAAGGGCAGGGTTTATTTTTAGTGTCCATTGAAATCACAATTAATCGATCCGTCCAGATCTGCCATGGGCATTGGGTGTAACGTCCATCAACGATATAACTAAGATAATCGTGGTCAAACCCGGCAACTGCCCT